CAGCCCCTCACCCCTGCCAGGTGGTCTTTCATGGGTTCCTTAGCAAAGGTCCATCTATCTACAGGCAATCCTGAATCAATCCATCAACACTGAGCATTCCAATAATGTGGAGACTGCTGGTTACAATTGAATTTTGTAGCTGGACAATGAGCTGGATGATAGCCTTGATCCTAAAACCTGGTTACCTGGGGAGAGCATGAATACAGCCAAGAACAGGGGAAACTTAAGCCTAACTTGGCTTTTATCTGAGCTTTCCAGTAACATGTGATGGGATAGTTTCCTCTTTAGCCAGGTCACAGCAGTAAAGAGTGACCTGGTCCCAGCCAACTGAATTAGCTGCTAAACTTGATCCTGGTGAGAGACAAAGCACATTCAGGGAGGTGTGTATTTGTGAATAAGAAAGGAATAATGTAATTTTATAGAAGTGGCTGGTTCAGTAAGAGATAACCCAGAGAGCCTGGCAGCCTTTGAATTTGGATTTCTTGGAATGTAGAGGGCAACTTGTGCTCCTGGCCTCAAGGGAATATATAAATAACTAACCCCTCCTAATGCTGGGCTGCAGCACAGAGTGTATGGATTGCTGTTCTGGCAGAGCAAATGGGATGCTGTACTATTTACACAGAGAAAAGGGCACAGTTTGCTTTCATTGAGTCAGAACAGCAACTTTTTCCCAGTGAAAGTCAGTGACCTTCTGATTTTATTGAAATTCCTCACTAGGATTGCAGGGAAATTGATAGCTCCAGTGAAAAATGTTATGAGGAAACTTGGGGAAATCTACCTAGCTATCAAAACACTCCTACTGTTTTCTGTGCCCTAAATGTTGATCTCTGCTAAGTATAACACACAGTGTGTTATCCTTATGGAAACAAAAAGATAATTCAGTGCAGTTGTTTACACAGGGCAAAGCTTTAGGGCAAATCACAAGCATCAGAAATGCCAACCTTTCTGAGAGACTTCTGTGATATTTATTGAGTGGGGAGGGTCAGTTTGTGCCCAAACACATGGAACAGGTGCTGATGAAACCATCCTGTATATTAAATGTTCTCCCACTCTCAGAAAGAATTCTCTTCCTTCTGGCTTGTCCAGTTAACTCTTTACCAAACCCACACCAAATCTCCACATCAGTGAGCTCTACAACAGGCTTTGTGCAGAGCCCAGCCGGGGGGATTGTTTCTGCTGGAAGCAGTTCTGAGCTGGTGGGACCGTGGTGTGCTGGGAGACCACGGATTTCAGGAGCTGGAGCTGTGTCCTTCAGCCCAGTGAGAGCATCAGCTCCTGTGGGGGAGGTGGTGCCTGCTGTAGGTCTGTCCCTAGCAGGGCAGGCAGCCCTGGGTCTGTGTGTGGTGCTGAACTGTCACCCCTGTGAAAGAGGCGATTAGGCAGGAATGCAGCCACTTCCATTCCTGAGCTGCACAGTCCTGATTCACCAGCCCTTGCTGGGTCCTGATCAGGTCAGCCCAGTGTTCTGACACTGCTCACTTTGTCATCCCTTCTCCAGTGAAATGCAGCCAGATAACAGGCAGGGGGCTTTTCTCTTGTGAACCACCTGGAATGTCCTCCAGGGACACCCAGGACAAAGAGAAACTTGGAAAAAGTGAGCAGTTTGGACTGGGAAAGAAGCAAACACTGCTTTTGGGGATGGCTCTGTGTGTTGTGGTGTGAGTGCTTGGATGGATGGATGGATGGACACATCCCTTATGCACCCTGTGGGCTTAGGGAACACTGTGCAAATCCCAGTGGTGAGAAGGGAGGGAAGATGAAGTTTCCTGTCAGTGTCTTCTCATCCATGAAATGATTGCTCTAACTGCTCTATCCAGGAATTAAGCTTTGATATGTGAGTGTGTGGCTCTCCTGGAACCTACAGTATTTTAGCTGGGTTGTATGTTACCTTACACTTCTCTACCCTCTGCAGTCCCTTTTCTCTCTCACTGTTGGATGTAAAATCATCCAGAAATCTCCAGGGGTGAACTGTGAGTCCCAATAAGCACCTGAGGGGTGCAGGAGGTTCAGAAAGTCAGTGGGTACAGGTATGTCTTTGTCTGGTGTCTGCCTATGGAAGCAAACTGCACCTCCAGCTTTCTGGGTAAGCCTCTGAGATGCTCTCAGGCTGTTCCCCATGTGCTCTGAAAGGTGAGGATTTCTTGTGTCCTCCAGTGTCCAGGTGCCCAAAGCCATCCCTGCTTTTGCTGAGTCAGCAGAGAGCAGGCACCCCTCAGCATCTGCTGAGGTATGGGTCTGTTCAAGCTCCAAGCAGGAGTTTGCAGACTATCTCCAAATGGAAGCAAACTATTGATTTTGTTGTTCCATTTGGCCTGAAGGGTCCACAGCAACATCCTGAACCTACACAGTGGATGTGATTAGATGTCTGCTGGCATCAACACCCCCATTCCCTCTGGAAAAACACATTGTCAGCTGGGATCAAGACATGAGATCTGGGTCTGTAGCCCCAGAAGGAAACTGTCTAAATCAGCAGCTTGCAGGCCATAATCTGCAGATCCTCTGTCTGTGAAAGTCTTCCAAGAATTAAATAGGGTGTGAGAGGAGGGGGTGTTTGGAAACAGCTGGAGGAAATGGACCAAGTGAAACTCCTCTCTCTGAGCAAGGACCAGTTCCTTGGGATGCTGCAGAACATCACACTAAATATGCTGGTGATGAGCATGCATGAGATCCTAAAGAAGCTGCTGTTTGGATCATTTTGCTTGCTTGGTTGGAGTATTCTTTCTGAATGAGCAGCAATATATTCTCTGCCATCCTGGATGCATGCCAGTAAAAGTCCTAAACCTTCCTTCCTAGCATCTGTGTATAATATAAAGGGTCATTTATAATCTCTGTAAGTCATGATGGGGCCTTTCATCACGTTGTCTGAAGCCTGCTTGCGTTCTGGAGGCTGTTCTTGCTGACTTTTGGCTTGCAAAGGGAAGTCTTGGGATGGTTTTGTCTGTCTGTCCTTCTGTTGCAATCACTGTGCTATTTTAGCTGCACTGAGTTCCAAGCTGGATGTCCTAATGCATCCTTGACCAGCTGTGTTCCTGTTTTTGTCTCACCTGCCTGTGTGCCACAGTAAAAACCCCTAAAAGTTGTGTTTGTAGGAAAATTGTGCTATTTATGGGAGGCCAAGAGTGTGATGTACCTTTGTGAGTACCTTTGTAACCAAACCCTCTCTTCTGTTGGTAAAGAGAGAAGTTGGAGAAATGAGTGTTCACCTTTGATCTCCCTGCTCACCTGGGGTCCCCTCAGGTGTGCCCACAGACCTGATCCCTATTTACACACCACAGATCCCTGACAAATCTGAGATAAGTGGCTCTGAAAGACCTCCCTGCCCACCTGGAATCACTTCAGGTGTGCCCACAGTCCTGATCCCTGTTCATACACCACAGATCCCTGACAAATCTGAGATAAGTGGCTCTGAAAGACCTCCCTGCCCACCTGGGATCACTTCAGGTGTGCCCACAGTCCTGATGCCTGTTCATACACCACAGATCCCTGACAAATCTGAGATAAGTGGCTCTGAAACACCTCCCTGTCCACCTGGGGTCCCCTCAGGTGTGCCCACAGTGCCCACTCCCTGCTGAGGAATCCAGGGGGGTTTCTGGTGAGCAGGAGCGGTGTCTCAGGGAGAGCTGCAAGCTGAGCCCTGTCCCTGCTCTGGGCTGGTGGCAGTGGCACAGAGCCACCCCTCCCTGGGTGTCCCAGCCCTCCTGGCTGGCTGTAGCCCAAGGGTCAGCGAGCAGCCCGCTGGCCCCATGTGGTGCTGGCATCTGTGCCTCCTATTCATGGAGATGGGAGCTATCCAGAGAGCAGGGATTCCTGTGGAGATGGGAGGGGAATGCAAAAAGGGGGAAAAATAGCAACAAATGCTGTAGATGGTGTGTTCTGGGGAAACTGAAAGACAGGAGGTGGTTTAGGGAAGGAGAAGGGGATGTGCAGGTGCATTGTCACTTTGATTTTTGGTGTGCAAGGCTGGGGAGTCACTGTGGTGCTTGAAGGGTCAGCTCTATTGAGGGCTCTTGCTTTAAGATAGATGAGGAGCCAGGAGTCTGGCTCTGGTTCAGCAGGGAATGCTTACACAAGCACTGGGTGTGTTTTGGAGCACAAGCTGGTGTCTCCATGTCCCACAGTGACCCCAGTTCTGATCCCCAGTCAATAGGAAAGTGACTCTCAAACCTGTTAACTACACTGATGTACAAAAGCATCACAAAACATTCCACACCAAAATATTCACAAAAAAGTGAACCAGTATTTGGCAAAATGAGCAATGCTTGCAAGGGGGAAATTGTTTGTGTCCCCTCAAGCATGCCACTGGAACCTAAAAGTTTTTTTCTTTGAGAAGGTCCTTGAAGGATGTTTAGGTCCAAATTCCCTGTGCTGACTCTGCAGTTCCTTCTGTCTCATACACCTTGCAGTGAGGGGTCTGTCTCTTTCTTGAGACAGCGTAAGACACTCATCCCTCCCTGCCTGCATTTTCCCTTGCCCATTTTTAGGCAGTAACCTCAGCAGGACAACAACAGGACTTGTTCAACACCCAGCTCATTCAAGCCCTGCTGACAGAGAACTGCACCACACCAAAAAGCAGAATTTTCCTACTCTGCTGTTGTTCAGAATGGTGGGAGGCTGGGGAATGATACCATAACAAGCAGGGTGGAATTAAGACCAGTACAATGGGAGCTGACTATCAGGAGATTTGGAACATGTCTTTATTTTCCCCAAGTCCTATTGTTTCTGATAAGTCACAGAACTAAATTATGCACTGTAAAACTCTGGCCTCTGACAACCAAGCAAGAGGCATTACTGGATCTGTGGTTCAGGTTGGCAGGAGCTGGGGATCTTTCTGCAGCTCTTGGAAGGAGAGGGTGGGGTGACAAGTGAAGACTGCAAGTCAGCCTGTCTATGGCTGGCAGAAAGGAACCACCCCACCTCAGATTCTTGGTCTGTTTTTCCTGCAGTCTGGTGTGTACTGGTTCCCTGGTTGTCTCACTAACTTGTGTCCTCTGTCTCTGCAGGCACTGGTGCCACTACACAGTCACAAGGACAGTCTCCTGCCAGGTGCAGAATGGGTCAGAAACGGTGATCCAGAGAGTTTATCAGAGCTGCCGCTGGCCGGGACCTTGTGCCAACTTAGTCAGGTAAAAATCTTCATGTCTCATACTGCCCAACCCTGCTGCCCTTCCCCTTGGGCTGGGGGCTGGTGAGGGCTGCAGAGAGTGGGATGTCCTGCTTTAGGGTGCTGTGCCTGAGGAGCACCACTGGTGATAACTGCAGGGAAGTCACAGGTGAAGGTAAGTGTAGCATTGCTTCCAGGTTTAGGAGCTCCCTAAACACAGACAGGTCTAACTTAGAAAGAAGACATTGTTTATTCTGTGCAAGGTGGAGGTTCCCACAAACCAAGCACACTGAGGGGTAAAATATTACATCTTTTATACAGGAATGTTTACATGAACCCCCATAATATACATTCTCCTATTTATTTGGGTGATATAATCTTACACAAGATGCTTGAAACATAAAGTTCCTTTCTTTCATTAAGCAACTTCTATTGTAGAAGTTATGTGACAACATCAGTTTCATTTACAAAAGGGGAACAAATTCAGCCTGGGGACAGAGAGTTCAATTCAAAGACATCAGTATTAGGACAAGTTATGTGAAACAGTTTAGCTCAGGCTGTAGTGCCACTTTGTGCTTCTCCACACAGGAGGCTGCTGCTGGTCAGGCATGAAAGCAGATAAATGTTCAGAGTGAGTGGACAGGGTGAGCAGGGATGCTGGGTCAGTGGTTCTGTGGGACTCGTTGGTATCAGTCCCCATACTCAAGGCTGTAGTGGAAATATTGATCCCATACACTGGAAAGCTGTGATCAAATCCCTTACAGGCAATGGAGAACAAAGGTAATGTGCCCTGTATCTTTCAGGATGGAATTTCTTTAGACTTCCTGGATTTCAGTATCCTTTAAAGACACCTCAATGCAGAATGTCCTCTCCTCAGAAAAGAAACAAAGCTTAAAAACAGCTACGTGTCAAAAACTTGCCCTGAGCCTGCTTTGCCTTTTGATCATTTATAGTCTTGGAACCTACATGTAAGAAGGAAAAAAAAAGTGTGAAATAGCTGTCCCCAGCTACCACCTTTCAGTAAAATGTCTGCATTGTTGTGCTTTGCCTTCTCTGAAAGGCATTCTCAGAACAGAATAGTGTTCCCCACCCAGCTGGGAATTGGGGCAAAAAAGCCATTGTGCTCTAAAATTGCACCTAGCTTCTAAAACAATTTACCAAATAGACAAGGCATAACTTAGCTCACAGAGCTGAGGCATTTTATTGTTATTGTTACCAATTCACCCACAGGGCAGTGGTTGAGGTCCTCCTGTAGTTGATAACCTGGCCAGAAGGTGACTGCAGGCTGAGCCCCACCTCCCTGTTCTTGTGACACTTCATCTAGAGCTCACATCTTGCATGGGGCTGTTCCCATTGTTGGTTCTCCAGTTTCCACTTGGCCAGTGGTCAGTCTCAGTTTTTTCACTTGTAATATATCTGCTTTGGTGTCTCTTTTGTCTTTATGCAAGGCTGTGGTTGAAACACTTCATATTTTACACTGTCATGGCCAAACTTCTGTTGAAGCTTTTTAATTTCCCCGGCTTTTTAGGCACATAATTGTCATTAGAAACTTGTGAGCTTTCACCTTGTCTCCTAAACTTGCCAAAAATCTTAGTTATTTTTTGCTTTTAACACAACTGGAATTTCATAAGAACCAAACATTTGATCTTGCTAATAGTAAAAATTCTTTTTGTGGGCCCCTGCAGTTGATTGATGCCATTGATTCTTATATTAACCCAGAGACTTTAGGAGTAGTGTGTGCTGTTGTGACATTGTTCATGGAACATTTTCAGTTTCAAATGTAGTTTGGTTTGTTTGCCTGATGAGTCCAATTGTTTGGAGACAATGCAGAACAGCAGAAGACATCTCAATTTTTCTTTCTGTGTGAAAATATCATGGAAAGAAGCTGAGGTTATTAAATATTCAAGAACTCAGCTGGTGAAAGCTCAGCTAACAGGAGCTGCATTTTTGGAAGATGATCACTATGGAGAAACCTTCCTGAAGAGATGGGAGGACCTCAATGCTCTGTTCCCTTTGGGCTGGGAGGAAATGCAGGACAAGAGGATGGAACCCTTCCAGGGAAATGCCTGCATGCCTCTAGGCACATATTGCATGACATTCTTGCATAAAGTAGAGAAAGACCCTGCACCTCTTTCCCAAGGATCTCTCAGAAAGCTGCTGACAAAATGCTGTAACTCATCCACTTATCATCAGAGGTAAAACAGGTCCTTGATAATTTCCCCTACTGCCAACCATCTGAAAGGGAGAGCCCCAAGAAAGAGTAACAGCAAAGGTGGGATCTGAGATCTGAGAGTTGAACAGGCTGTTGGATGTTATCCCCAGCCAAGACATCATCTATAAGTGGTTGTTTGTTTTCAGCAATGCACCTGACTTTGATAAGAGAATGAGAACAGCTGCTAAATGATGACTCTTGTGAGTGTGAGTGCTGTGGGCAATGTTTGGCACCCTGAGCCAGGTTGTGTGACATCGGTGTTGTTTTCTGAGCACACAGCAGTCTAGCACTTTGTTGCCAGCCCATAGGGATGCTTGAAGTGGCTTTCTTTTTTCTTGGAGTCAAGCTGAAGTTCTAAAACTTTTTTTTTTTTTTTAATACATTTTCCTCCTCTCTCGCCAAAATGAGTATTGTCTTTTTAGGAACCACCAATCTCTCTCCTAATCAGGTAAACCCCATCTCCTGTTTTGAGATGCATGAAAACTCCTTGTGCATAAAGGACAGAAATAAGGAAAGCAGTTCCCAAAGTCACAAAGCAGTGTAGTGCCTTTCCTGTTGAGAAACTGGCTTCAAAGGGGCTTGTAAGAGTTTATCAGCCACCAACCTGAACAGCTTCCTTTGACAGGTCTCTGAAAATCCCTGAAGAAGATGAACAGAGCACAAAACTCAGCCTGGCTGCCCTACTTGTTTGTCTCCTCCTTACCTTGTCTCTCTTTTTGGAACCCTGGAAGTCTGGCTTCAGCAAGGTCAGGCTCATTCCAGGTCTGGTAGTGGCTAAAAATGTTCTTATTCTCTATATCCCTGCAGTTGTTCAGGTAATATAAATATATCTGCTTTCTTTTGCTAAAAAAGTAAATTTGAAGTGTCTTTTGGCCTTCTCCTGTGCTTCTTCAGGGAGGTTTGTGGTGCCTGAGCTTGAATTGGAGGGCACAGAGTGTTCTGTGTGGCTGTAAGCAATGCAACGTGTCAGCAAGACATTGGCACCATTTTCCTTTATAGTGCTTCTCCCAGCTGTGATTTGAAACAAACTGTTTTCATCTCCTTGTTTACAGGAGTCAGCCATATCTGGGAGAGCTTTCATTCTGCCAGCACCCCTTATCAGGCTGCTCACTAGCAGAAGGGATGTCAGCCAAGGAAAAAGGCATCTCTCAGCCTCGTGGTGACAGCTGAGAGGGGCTCTCTGCTACAGAGACTCTGCTTTTGAGCAGACATCGCTGGGGCCAGACAGGATTTAATCCCTTTCCTGTCTCCCATTCATTCCTGTTGGATTTCTTTCTCTTACTGCACAAAGTGCAGCTCAGAGTCAAGCCTTTGGCAGAGGAGGATCTGTGGGATCCCAGCCTTGCAGCCCTGGCTGTGAGATGTCCTTGCTGTCCATTCACTTGCTCCTGGGAAGCTGCTTCAGCAGGAGTGTCATCATCTTGGCTGGGCTGGGCTGGGATGAGCTGCTCTGTTCCTGCCCTCTGCCCCAGGCTCTTTATTTAGCTTGGGTGCTGAGTTGCTCTGGAGCAGTCTTGGCTGGAGGATTTCCCTCAGCACATCTGTTCTTGAGCTTTCTCCATTTGTGCAGTGAAGGCTTCAGCTCCTCTGTGCCACAGGCTGTGCCCTTGCTGTGTCACACTCCTGGTGCATGAGCAGCTCTGCAGCAGCCTGGCTGAATACTTCAAACTCATGTGCCATTTGTTTGTCTAAAGGAAAGGACAAAATCCCTACCTTGGGGTGTCAATGGGAGCCTAATCTCTGGTTCTCTGTTGCCTGGGTGGTTGTCCCCAGCCTGGTAAACCCAGACATCCAAATTGTAACCCTTTTCCTCAGCAATCCTTTGGCTGCAGCAGCTGCAAGGTGATGCCCAGTCCTGCCCTGCTTGGGACACTGCCCTCCTCAAGGCTCACTCAGAAGGGTGGCCTTGAAGGCCAGGCAAGGATCTGAGACCTTTCAGTTGTTGGAGCTTTTGTGACTTCCTGTACCTTCAGACCAGCAATGCCACCTCACCTGTAAGATGAAAACAGAGCTGCTTTGGTCTTACTTTGTTTTATGGCACAACAGGGCAGCTTCTTGCTATACTCTAGTTGGCCAAAATCAGCCAACTTTTGATTAGAATATTTGTGTATGATTGTTGTGGTCAGTAGTGTCTTGGGAGGTAAATGGATGGGATGAGTGGCCTTGGCAGACCATGTGCTGTTACAGCCTTCAGAAGACAAACACTTTCTGCTGCAAACTGTTGTTGCCTTGAAAATCCCCATCTTCTCTGGAAAATCCCCATCTCATCTCTGGAAATGTTCTTCATTTGTGGTGGGATATTCCAGCTCCTCTCCTACTTGTCCCATCCTTGAAAATGAATGTTCCCAACAAGGTTGTGTGAGTTTTTATTATGCTTTGCTGTACCCTATGGTCACAGAGCTGTCTCACTTCAGCTTTTGAGTCTCCTGTCTCTGCAGCATTTTCTGCCTTCAGAGACTTTGAAGATTTTCCAGGAAACCCACGGCTGGCTTGTACAGGGATGGGTTTACCTGGTCTCTTTGATAAGAGTCATTGAAACTCCAAACATTAAATTATTCATCGGTTGGCTTTAAACTTCACCCAGAGATGGGAGAGATGGCAGGAAGAGTGTTCTTGCAGCACAGCAAATCTGGGCTGTGATGCCCTTTCAGCTGCCTGTCACTGCCTGGTTTTTTATTTCAGCATTGTAGCTGGCTTGGCTTATCACAAATACTCTGTGCATTTCATGTAAGCAGACTACACATCTTGCATGGATCATCTTGTTTGGTGTTTTTGAATGCTGGATTTTATTTTCTTTTTTTTCCCCTTTT